CTCCAACACTGGAAGTTTTAAAGAAGATATTGGATAACCATTTGTCTGAAGTGGTGTAGGGTTTCCTGCCTAAGCAGGGAGTTGGACTAGAAGACTTCTAAGGTCCTTTCCAACTCTGTTATTCTGTTTTCTATTAGTACCAGCATATACTGCACTATTAAGATCGTACTTGGAATACTACATTCAGGTCTGGTCACCATGATACAAAAAAGATGTTGAGACTCTAGAAAGAGTGCAGAGAAGAGCAACATATGATGAATATTTGCAGGAACTGAGTATGTCTTGTCTAACAAAAAGGACCAATGATGACATGATAGCAGTCTTCTAATATTTGAGATGCTGTCGCAAAGAATAGGCTGTCACAACCTATTCTCTAAAGCACAAGAGGGCAAGACAATATGTAAAAGATGGAAACCTATCAAAGAGAAATTCCATCTAAGCACTTAACCTTAACAAGTTCTATTCCTCTTAAATATAACTCAAATTTCTTTCATTTTCTTTCTTTTTTCTGACAAGAGCTGTTTTTCACCTTTCCTTAACAATTCTTGCCTAGTTTGGGCTGTCATCATTGCTTCTGCTTGGCAATATCTTCTCAAAAACAGAAAAATGCCTTTCACTAGGTGAAAAGATCTCTGCAGCCTTTGTCCATTTCCCCTCTTTTTTTCTCTTTTCTTATATAGAAGGAATACTTCAACATCATGGATGTTCCAACCCATAAAGGGAAAAATCATACCTGCCTGCTTTCTGTGTGGGGTAACAAAGCAACACAAGATATTATGTGCTACAATTGGCCCTTGACATTTGCCTTACTGGAATTAAAATATTATTAACTGAAATATAAATTGAGCTAGTAAACTAATTGTTAAAAGTACTGCTACTTATGAGGAAAACTAAAGTTCTCATACAAATTATTATTTCTGGGCAAAGGGATGGAGCAGGAAATGGAGACATGGCAGAATCCATAGCCATATAAGAAGCAGAAATGAAGATGGAAGTGAAAATTATGAAGATATGATCTCACAGGGGCACTAAAACATTGAAGAGACATGATGATCCTTGCCTGCTTGCATTTGTTGTTGTTTGGCAGTATAAAATGTCCAATATTCATTGTTCAAGCCTTATGTGTTCATGACTCACATAAAAATAAACAAAGCAACCAACTTTTGTACCACAATTTTCATTTTCAGATGAATCAAACTCCAGTGGAGGTCAAGAATTATCAACTCTAGGTCGTAGGCCTCCTTGTGGCAGTGATACAGACAGCTCAGTAGAAGAGGAGAGTGATTTTGACACTATGCCCGAAATTGAAAGCAACAAGAATGTAATCCGCACTAAGGTATCTCTTGCAAATGTTTTTTTGCATTTTTATAGGATTTTTTTTTCTATATCCTTTCTGTACATCATTGCAGTTATATTTGAAGTGCAACAATCTAAGATCTAAAACTTTGTTTGCATTGGGAACATATTTACACATTATTGTCAGCTTCTTTTCTATGTTCAAAGAATAAAATATTCTGAAACATAATGGATTGTAAATATTTAGCTCAGATGTATATGAGGAAACAATGTGATCCTGACTTTTGTAGAACAAGCTATTCTCTACCAAGGAAATTTGCCAAGAAATTAACACACTTTTAATAAAAACATAAAGAAACTAAAGCATATATTTTTTGTCAGAGTGTTTCTGCAAAGATTTGTTGATAGAAAGCTTCTTAGCTATAACTCTCTGGCCTCCAAAGAAGATTTAATTAATCAGGTTCTCATTTGTTATTTATAATTAGCATCAAATAGTATTATTTATTTTATTTCATTGTATTTATCATTTTTATTATATTTTTAATACCACCTTTATTAGTCTATAACTCAAGCCAGCTATTATACCTAATACTCCTTCATCATTCTATCTAAGTCATCCATCCAGCTTTCCTCCCTAAGGCAGGATTAGAACTCACAATCCATTGGTTTTTAGGTCAGCACCTTAACCAGTACACCAAATTGACCCTATACTTTCACATTTTATCATGAATTGCTCCCAAAATCTAATTTTACAGGGTTATAATCTAAATAAATACATCGTAACTATAGCTTTAGGACATAAGCTATTAGTTCAGGCAGTTGTATTTTTTGTAAACAGTAGGGTAGTAAAAGGTTTAGGTGGATTCTTGATTTTTGAGTATAAATGAAATTAAAAATAATACAAAACTCCTCATACCATTACTGGCTGGTTGCACTCTCCATAGTTTTTTTTTTAGGGACCTCTGTAAGAGAAGTTACAAACCAAATCTAACTTTACTGTGATCATTAAGTAGCACAGGAAGTTCCAGAATCTCCAATATCACCTCCCTACCCTTCCCTCTCTCTCCTTCCCCCTCTCCCTCCCTCCTGCTTCTTCCCATCCTTCCAGCGTCATCTTTGTCAAGCAGATTTTAGCCCAACATGATGGTTGTGATTGTGAATCACTCTCTGTTTAATCACAAACTGCGTGATTCCATCCTTTCTGTCAAAATGTTTACTGTTAAGAGCTGGAGTGAAATAAAATTTTTATTAACATATTGTGCACAGTTTTTGAATATGGTTCAGGTCACACTGGCAAAACAATATGTTAAAATTCAGGAGATTGTGCTCAGTTATCTTTCTTTAAGGGAATAAATTTGGATTTATGTGCTTGCCTTGACAGGTTGAAATGACATTCCTGAGCTGAAAAGTTAGATTGTATTTTAATCCTTTTAATCTTTTTAAAGGACCATGAATATCTTTGTCCTCTTTCTTTTCAGATGTTCCTTTATCTGTCAGATCTATCCAGAAAAGATCGGAGAATTGTAAGCAAAAAGTATAAAATTTATTTCTGGTAAGTTACTAACAAGTTAATGGAACTCATTTTTTTAAACTGAACTCGTCTTTCTCTCACCTTCTCATAATTTAAACTGAATCCTTACAGGAGATTTTCTTTGCGAAATAAGAGTATAACATCAGTCTCATACTGGTTAAATATGGGATTCCCAGGGCAAAATTTCAGAATTTTGCACTGATGCACTAGAAGAGATGTGGCTTTCATTGTTTAATTGTTTCTGGGGTGAATGCCCAGAATAGGCAGACTTTATACTGAGGTAACAGGGACCTGACCTTTAGAGGCAAGGACCACAACAGTCTGCACAGTAACCAGAAATCTAGTGACAGTTAATGCAACACCTCAATATGAATATTAGCCTTTTAGGCCTGGTCAGGAGTGATTGGAAAGCTATTTTATTGATTTAGGCCAATATTTCTTAAATTGTAGCCCAAGGACCCCTGAGCTGCTAAGACATCTCAGAGATCCATGAAATCAAATCATTTGCCAGATATTAAAGATAGTAAAGCAAAAATGGAAAAAGTCACACTTCTCATCATTATTTTGTATTGTTAAAAAGTAAGATTTCTACATGAAAAATATTTTATGTCTTTAATATTGTTATTGTTACACAATGTAAAATGCATCAATTGTAATTTTTAATATGGTAAATATCAAGAAATATAACCCATGCAAAGAAAATTTTGGGGGGGTTCTATGTCATTTCTATAAGTTGAGAGCAAAAAGGTTAAGAAACACTGATATGTCGGTGCCTGACAAGATTTTCTCTTTGTTACTTTCTTCCTTACCTTTCCTCTACCTCTACCCCAGAGAATTAACGCAGAGACACTCTGGGTTTCTAATGTTTTCTTTATTTCCTAGGCTTAAAAACATGTTTTGCTAACTGATGATAACTGCACAGTTTTTCCAAGGTTGTTTCTGTGGCTCTGTGTGTGTGCTACTCTGCTGAATTGATCCAAGCAGATAAATGCATTTTGAATAGTCCAAATAGTTTTTAAAAGTAGATCCAAATAAAGTCAAATTTTCCAGTCTAGTCTCCAAATGTAGAAAAGCCCTTTTTGTTTCCTATTCAAATGCTAATGAGGTCTGACCCTGCTTAGTTTCTTGAGAATCATTGTAATTAACAGTAGGAGTAGAGTTATCATTATTATTGTCCTTGCTTTTGATACTTATATATACATACCAGCATATATTTAACATAAGTGTTTATTTGGGACAGTTTGGCTTCAACTGGAATTTTAACTTTAGATTAACAGCTTTAGAAATGAAGGTATTTAAAAAAAACATGATTTGTGTTTTTATATATCTATGTTTTTTTCCACCTTTTTCCTATTGCTGAGGGGGCTCATCTTAAATTCACCTTGGCATTTATATAGTCATGTTAACTCTATGTTTGGTTTAAGTAACTAATTTTTGCTTTATTTACTCTAATGAGACCATTTATTAAAGTTCAATGGAATCACACACATTAATTTAAATACGATGCTTTGTATTCTGTAGGAATATCATCACAATTGCTGTTTTCTATGCCTTACCTGTGATCCAATTGGTGATCACATACCAGACGGTGAGTTCCTGTGCCTTCTCAGCACAAATTAAGCCTCCCGGCTAATATCTTTTCCTACTTTTTACTCCTCAGCCCTATTGCTTTGCAGACTGTTTTTAGGTTCATGTTCTGACCCGCTCCTCCGTCAGTAATGAATGCCGAGACAAGCTTAAATGGAATGTATTTTAATAGCAGGACACCAAAACCTCGGTGGCTGAAAGCCAATTAAAACAAACAGATAAGGACCTTGGCAGCAACTCAGACAAACTCAGGCAGCAATAAACACAGATAAGGCTTGGCAGCAATCCAGCCTGCCAAGCTCCCAGTACTGTCCTAGTTAGTTTAGTTTAGTTTAGTTTTATTGGTCTTGTATGCCGCCCACTCCCGAAGGACTCCGGGCGGCTTACAATAAACAAGGAAAGGGGATAAATAAACAACATTCAATCCTCCAACATTCAATCCTGCGTTGACTTCTGCAAGGAGGGCCGTGTGCACAAGTAGCTTTTTATAGTCTGGAGAGGAGCATAATGACTACCAGCTGAGTACAATCACCTCCTGTAATTGCGTAATTGTTCCTGAAGCCTAGTAGCTCTTCGATGGCGTGCATCCAGGAATAACTCACTGCTGGCCTCAGGCTCACTCTCCCTTGTCTTCTCCCCACTGGTCCAAGGCTCACGTGCCTCCTGGTGGCCAACCAGCCTCTCTGCGCCCTGCTCAGAGTTGGAACCCTGTCCAGAGTCCTCCACATCCTCCAGAGCCGACTCAGAGAGCCCCTCGCTGTCAGAGTCTTGTGGCAGCTCCAATGGCACCTGCTGGGCCACAACAGGTTCATTTCCAGTTATTTACTTTTTAGCTTTTATAGTGGTGCCATGTACTGCTGAGAGCACTCATCTCACTCTTAAGACAAAGTGCACTAAAAGGAGATAACAAACAGCAGGCACATTTCATCCAGGCCTGCATATGAATGTCTATTACCTCAAGAACATTTTATTTTAGTCTGTTTATTTTAGTGATTAGTAAAATCTGTGTTTTATTTGACCTCTTACAGAAATGAAGTATCAAAACAAAATGAGTTGAAAGTTACAACATTGTATTGTCAAATCTGCAATGTTCCTTTCTCCTTTATTAATCTAGGTTTAACACAAAAGACACTCAACCAAGTTAAACAACCATCATCAAATTTCTTGGTAACCAATTTCGGCTTGGTTTCTAACACTCAAGAAAATCCTAGAAGAGGGCACTATTATGGAGAGTTTCTGCTTCTTACTTATTGTTACGGGGGTTGGAAGTATAGCAGGGAGTTAGACTAGAAGATTGTAAGGTCACTTCCAGCCCTATGATTCTAGAAGAGACTGATTATACCCTATCTGTGGTGGAATCTGATTTTGAGTTGAGGGGAGGACAGAAACGGCTGAGTAGCCATGAATCCCTTGTGAGGAGGAAGAGATTGAAGGGTGGCCCCAGTGGTGGGTTTCAAAAATTGTTCGAACCTACTCTGTGGGTGTGGCCTCCTTTGTGGGAGTGGCTTGCCGCCCATGTGACTGGATGGGAGTGGCTTGCAACCCATGTGACCGGATATGAAGATACTGACAACACTTGTCAGAACCACCTTAAATTACCTCACAAACAACACTGGCATGCATAAGAATATGATGTAAACTTGTTTTTTAAAAGGCATCTTTGGTTTGCATTAAAACAACTTCAACATACGCAATGTTCTGATTGCACCACAAACGCAATAGTCATCCTTACCTTTCACAGAGGCATTGAGTTTTATAAATATGACCATGATAGTGTAGAATAATCATATCCAAGGACCAGTGGTGGGTTTCAAATTTTTTTCAAAAAACCTAAGATGGAACAGAAATAACACTGGTCAATAAATATTTTGCTTCCTGAACACTTTTGGGTGTATCTTTCAGATTTTCGGCTGCTAATTGTGAAAATAATCTGTAATTTAATCTATCACATACCCTTCTACAGAAATTGTCTGGTTTTACATAATGGCAATGTACACCCTTCAGTACCTGTTGGCTATGCTGCACTCATGAAATAAATATACCAAATCATGGAACTGTTGTTGAAGTACATCCAGTACACCAAATACAACTGGAATATCTGTGAAGATCTAAAAGTAGTGGCTCTGCTGCTTGGAATGAAGCTCAGATATACCAAATATTGCTTGTTTTTCCTCTTTTGGCTGTTCATCGTCTTAGCTGAGATGTTCAATGAATACAAGTAAAACTTTATGCTGGGTTGTTGTTTCCCCCCCACTTTTTAGGTAGTGAATGTGACTGGAAATCAGGACATCTGCTATTATAACTTCCTTTGTGCTCATCCGCTGGGAGTCTTAAGGTGTGCATAAGGATCATTCCCAATTTGTGGCTTGGGTTCTAATTTGAGTTTCTTTTTATGTAATTGGGAAATGGGGATGGACATTTTCTGTGGGGTAAGTGGTTTGCAATGAATATAATTTTTTGCATGAAGTTTAATGTTTATAGACTTGTAGAATATAAGGATTGGAATGCATCTCTAGTCCAGCTCTCTGCTCAGTCCTGAATCCATTATTACAGCAATATTGCTTGATATTAATAATATCATTTAACAAAAACAGAATAAAAACCCGTAAAAGAAATGATGAGAAAACCAAAAGCCAAGTACAGGGAAACTATGACTTTACTATTTTTAACTTGAATTGAAGGAATTCGACACACATGAGTAGAGGCAAGTTACACACGCAGTTACTGGGTGGGGGCAAAATTTCTAGATCTGGTAGCAATCATGGGGGCAGGCATAGTCCTGGATTCCATTCCCCCAAGGTACCCCTGATAGTAATATTTTTCAGGAAATACTGGAAATCAGAATAGAGGACAACTATATTAGTTTCCCCATTTCTTGATTATGAAAAACATTTAAGATGGCTGCACTTGGGTTTGTAGGTCTGGGGTCTGAAGTGACAGATTATTTCATTTTCCTTACTTTTCTTCACAATGTTAGCCAAACAAAGCCAGTGTTATCACTGCCGGCTTCACAGCTTTGCAAAAGACAGCACTTGCAAAAAGCTTTGCACATGGGATTAGAATGATCCTTGGAAATAAACAGAAAAAAATACTATTTTACATAGTTGCATTCCCTTACAATTATTTTATACACTCAGTTCCAGAGACAAATGTATTATATGGCTTTTTTGCTTTTTCTGCAGTGCTTTCAACAACATCCTGAGCAACATTGGCCACATGTTGCTGGGTGTCCTTTTCCTGTTGATTGTGTTGTGCAGAGACCTTCTTCATCGGCGTTCCTTGGAAAATAAAGACATCTGTGCAATGGTATACTCCCTACTTTCTTGCTGGGTAAAAGTGACCTCGTGGTCATTAATATAAAGTGCCTCTGTTTTTCTGGTTCTTACAATGCCAGTGAAGCCAAGCATTTTGCTAAAGGAAAGAACCCTTTCTGTTAACTTTCCTTCATAGAGGAAAGCCTCTATGCCTTTGGGCAGACTGCAGTCTCATGATTATTTTACAAAGCCTTTGGTTTAATAACCAAGCAGTTGAACTTACTGTAAAAGACCTGGCATTTGTGTTGGGGAGGGTGTTTAATTTTCCTCTCAGAGCATCTTGCTCAAAATTGTTTTCCCTAAGTTCTTTTTTCTCAGTGAGAGGAGATCTCTGAGTGGCTTTCTCTGCACTTCACTCGCCTTCAAACCGTTCAGCCTCCTAGAAAGTTAGTGTGGGGAAAAGGCTGAGCATGAGAGCAACTAGTGAGAATTTTGGGTAGGCCAAGACTGAGAGTTGCAAAGAAACCTCAGAGAAGAAAGAGAGGCTGAATATGGGCGAGGAGGGGGGTGACTACAGAGAGGTGGGAGGAAGGGGGAACATGGGAGGGCAGGTGGTAAGCAAGACTGCAAGAAGTACAGTGGCCACATTTTCTTAGAAAATATAAAGGACGAACCTGAAACTGTAGCAAATCTGAAGGAGGATTTAAAGGATAAAAAACTTGTTTAGGTTCGTAATTTTCCTTTACAAAGGGCAAAATAAAAAAATTGTACAAAAATGCATATTTGGATAAAAATATCTACAATCAAACAGTACATTTATTTTAAGAAGGCAATTTCATATTTTTCACATGGAAATAAAAGATCACATAAAGTGTATGATAAAGTGTGGTCCACCTACTTCAATTAGCTATTTGTTAATAATTGTAGCTGCTGTTATTTGGGTTTTAATTGTTTTATCTATTCATTTATTAACTGTTTTACCTGTTCTGAATGAAAAAAACAGAATGATAAGTTATAATACAGTGCTTGGTTCTTCCTCTGTCTTCTCTTACCTTCAAGGAATATGGGATCCCTAAGCATTTTGGCCTCTTCTATGCCATGGGTGTCGCTTTAATGATGGAAGGTGTCCTCAGCGCTTGCTACCACGTCTGTCCAAACTACACTAATTTCCAGTTTGGTAAGTTGGGAGGGTGTGTGATTCCAGTCAAGATCAGTCAGAGCCTTCTGGCCTTTTGAATAGGTTGGGTTTAATGGCTGCTCAAGATTTTAGAAAAACTAAAACAAAACAGTTTGTTTGTTTGTTTGTTTGTTTGTTTGTTTATTAAATATATTTATATGCCACCCAATCCCGAAGGACTCCGGGCGGCTTACAAAAAATATAAGAAAAAACACAGAACGATAAAAGAAAACAGGTTAAAAACAGCAACACCCTCATACATTCATTCTAATTGGGGCTGGACCTCAACAGTGAGGTCAACAGCCCCAGGCCTGCTGGAACAGCCAAGTTTTTACAGCTTTCCTGAAGGCCATGAGAGTGGGTATGGTCCGGATCTCTGGGGGTAGCTGGTTTCAGAGAGTCGGAGCAGCCACAGAGAAGGCTCTCCTCCAAGGGCCCGCCAGCTGACACTGTTTGGCTGACGGCATCTGAAGGAGGCCCAATCTGTGGTATCTTACTGGCCACTGGGAGGTATGTGGCAGCAGGCGGTCTCGAAGGTACCCTAGCCCTAAGCCATGTAGGGCTTTAAAGGTGATAACCAACACCTTGAATTGAGTCCGGAGACCAATTGGTAGCCAGTGCAGCTCACGGAGGACAGGTGTAATGTGGGTGTACCTCGGCACACCCAATATTGCTCGCGCGGCGCATTCTAAACTAACTGCAGTCTCCGAACGCTTTTCAAGGGTAGCCCCATGTAGAGCGCGTTGCAATAATCCAGCCTCGAGGTGACAAGGGCGTGAGTGACCGTTAGAAGTGCCTCCCGGTTCAAATAGGGCCGCAATTGGTGCACCAGACAAACTTGGGCAAAGGCCCCCCTGGTCCCAGCCGACAGATGATGTTCCAGTTTCAGCTGCGAATCCAGGAGGACTCCCAAATTGCGAGCCCTCTCTGAGGGGTGTAAATTTTCACCCCCCAGGGTTAAGGATGGACTGTCCAAACAGTCCTTCGGGGGCAACATCCATAGCCACTCAATCTTATCGGGATTGAGCACAAGTTTGTTCGCCCCCATCCAGATCCTAACAGCCTCCAGGCAGTTAAGCAAACAGGAGGAGCCAGTTTCTAACATTTCATCACTGTGTTACGTTTGCATGCTCTGAGCCTGAAAAAACAGCTTTTTTGTTCTTTTCTGAAAACTAATATTACATGAGAGGTTCAGTTGACATAACAATGTTGAATAAATGCCTTCATTCACAGAACAGACTGTAACATAAACAAACCCTCTCCATTTTAGATTTATATATTGTGCAAACACAGCTTCTGTATGTAATTTTCTTCTGGAGGAGGGGAAGTACAGGTAATCCTCTACTTACAACCATTATGATGGAATTCCATCATAAATCATGATGCTCATAAGTCAAGGCACCCATGTGACCAGACCTGATTTTTATGGTAGTCTTTAAGCAAGAATCTCAGTCATTAAGTAAACGTGCCAGTAAGTGAACACTGTAGTTATTAAGCGAATCAGTGGATTCATATGGGTGCTTTTTGCCAGAAACCGAGCAAAAAGGCCAAAAAACAGCAAACAATTGTTGTAAGTCATAAATACTGCAACTGGCAATAAAGATGAGCTGGTTGTAAGCACCTAAATGCAGTGACATGTGTATTTGTTGAGTGTGTACATGCATGCAGTCATCAGAAACAGGTCATAAGTAACTTTTAGTGGTTCTGGTTGTTAAACAAGGACTGTCTGTATTTTAAAATTGCTGTCTGCCCTCTTGGTTTTAACAGACTAATTGAGTAAGATGCATAAAATTGTGCTGTTACAAATTCTAAAAAACAATTATAAATCTATAAGAACAAAATGTGTTTTTATATAGTATCCAGTTTTCTACTGCAACTAAGAGGTCTTGAGGTTCCTCTGTTGGCTGTTGGTTTGAAAAAATAGTTCCCCACACCTTTGGTCATTAGTTCCCATGGTCTTTATCCTACAATCAAAAGGGCTGAGAAGTCTTGCTCTGAGATTAACATTGCAATCTGGAGAATGGGTTTTATTTTATTATCTGGCCTCATTCTAGTAATCTCATTCCTCTACAACAACAGTTCTTTTAATGATTAATATTATTAGTTAATAGTTGGTCTAGAGCGATAGTTAATGTTAACAGAAGTAACCACGAAAAGAACTATTTTGTTTTCTCTTTTTTTGGCAGACACATCTTTCATGTATATGATTGCAGGATTGTGTATGCTAAAACTCTATCAGACTCGCCACCCCGACATCAATGCCAGTGCTTACTCAGCCTATGCATCCTTTGCAGTGGTTATTTGCCTTGCTGTAGTTGGAGTGGTAAGATTGTGTCTTATGCAATAGCACTATTGTGCATAGAGTCATGGGCAAGTAAGTCAGAACTTCTGAAAAAAAACCACTTCTATGGACTCTTATGAACTTAAATTCCATTGATACCAAATAGCAAAAAACCCAGCAGCTATAGAGCTCAAGGGGTGTGTGATGGCTCAGCAAATGGGGGTGGAATGGGTCAGCAAAGACACTGAGCTTGTCAGCTGGAAAGCTGAAAGCCTAGGTTCGAGACTCAAGCACTGCACAGCATGAGTGCCTGACACTTGCTCCAGCTCCTGCCCACTTGGCAGTTCAAAAGCATGCAAGTGTGAGTAGATAAATAGATACCACATTGGTGGGAAGGTATTCGTACCTGTGGGCATATAGTCATGTTGGCCACATGGACCAAGTGTTTTTGGACAAGCCTGACTCCCTTGGCTAAGAAACAGAGGTGAGCGCTGCCATCTAGAGTCAGGCATGACTAGATAGAGAAGACCTTCATGTTTATCTTTATAGATAAACCCATCCATTTGAAAATTTGGGTTATCCTTAAAGAATATCCAGAAGCTGCACGAATAGTTCTAGGCACCCCAAGGATTGCACATGTAATACCTCTGCTGTATGAATTTCATTGGTGCCAGTTTACTTCTGGATCCAATTTAAGGTGTTCGTTATCATTTTTAAAGCCTTTCATGGCATGGACCAGGTTACCTGGTCTTATCCAAATTATATCGACCTTCCCACCTGGTCAGGCATAGAGATATGTTATGGATACATCAGTTAAATAATTCTCATTGGCAAGGTCTAAGAAGAGTCTTATCTTCCATTGCCCTTGCTCTAACTTGCCCCCAAAGGCAAGGTTGGCCCCACTCTTCCAAAAGATCACGAAGATCTGGCTTTGCCAACTGACATGGGAATCAAAAGGTGATATACAACCTTAGAGGTGGTGGTGGTGGGAGAGTGCTCCCTCTACCATTTAACTTACTTTTTAACCTTGTTCTTACCTATTTGTTATTTGTTTTAATTCATTTTTCACTGTATCTTTTACATGACGTTATGACTTTTTATCTACAAACTGCTTAGAGTCACTTAAATAATAAGATGGACAGTTCCTAAATTGGATAAATATATAAAATGAAAGATAGAACTATGTATTATTAAATAACAATGACAGAAATTATTATAGAGTGCTTTTCTCAGAATCCAGATTTGGTCCCTAATTTAATGAAATTATTAAATCAGCAAGTAAAAACAGTTTAAAAAAGTAAAAATAATAAACCATGATAATAAACTCACTATTACAGCTCAAATACAACTCATTGCCTTAATAAAATAATCAAAAGTTGCATCTATATTTAGTTAGTATTTAGATTTTTGGAAATGCAATTTGAGTATGATTAGACAATGATCTATTCCCATCCTTATTCTACAGCTGCAATATTAAATTACTATTAGATTTTACTAATTAAGATAATTATTGATTTATTGGCATGTCTTACCAATCCTTTCTGATCACCAAACTTAGTTTAAGTTGGAAAAAGTTCACTATACATTCTTTAATTTTTTTATTTGAAAGCCAGTATACAGTACTTGTGCCTGATATTGGGATAACTATTTATTTATTCCTTCCAAGGTTTTTGGGAAAAATGTGTGGTTTTGGGTCCTCTTCTCCATCATCCATGTTGTGGCCTCTCTTGGTCTTAGCACCCAGATTTACTACATGGGTCGTTTCAAGATAGGTAAGTTTTACTTGGAAGTAAATCTAATTAAAATCCAATTGTTTTAGGATTTTAGCCCAAACACTGTTGAATAGCAGATACAGTAGTTTTATATTTCGAAGAGTCTACTGCAGAAGTAATATACTTAGCAGAGTATTAATTTTGTAAGAAATTAGAGATTTGCCAAACTGATTAATATAATCATCTGTGGATATATGTATGTATGTATGTATGTATGTATGTATGTATGTATGTATGTATGTAACTGTATATCTTGTCAGTTTTTGTTTCTTTTTTATTCTTTTATAATTTTATATGCTATATATACTCATGGATAAGCTGAGAATTTAAATATCAAAACACTCTTAAAAAATTGAGTTTGGATTACCAAACTCAATTTCTTTGGTGTATTTTGGTTACTGCATATATGGTAAGTTTTTCCCTCAGTTTTTTGAAAGCTCCATATATCCTCTATGTAAACTCAAAGATAAGCCAATCAGTGAAGAAGCAAATCCTTGAAGTTTGAATTAAAATAAAATGAAAATTTGCCTTTGACAGTAAACTGGGAAAATTAAAACATGAAAATTGAGGGTCAACTTACCTCCGGATGGACTTATCCATGAGTATATACAATATTTTTTGTTTTATTTAGTTAAGAAAACTCTTTAAAAAGAAATTATCCTGAAGACTGCTTGCATGACAGAAACATAGATTAGCTTTATTTAGTGATAAGAGACACCAAGTTACTTAAGTCTATCTATAACTATAATGTGCTGTCTTTTAATTGGCTGAGGTACTGAATTGCTCAGTTCAGAATTAGAAGAAAAATATAGATAAACTGAGAGGAAGAAAGTGATAAAAACTTTGAGAATATCAGCCTAGTCAATAAGATGTATGTTATATAAGGACATGCAAAGTTAAAAAAAAGCTCTTGGGATTTAAAAAAGGCAGATAAAAATGCAAAGTCACTCTAGCTCTACATTTATTGTCCTGGAAGTCAATACATTTATAGACACAGAAAGCTGGTGCATGCAATGGCTATCGCACCAGTTAATAATTTCCATTGCTTCAGAAAAGCCTTTAAACTGATCTCTTGACCATGACTTGAGTATGTTAACTGCTATCTCCCCTGTGGGTTAATACTTGTGCTCAACAAGTCCATCCTGGAAAGTATCTTGCACTTGATGGTACTTCGTACCATTGTGCTTTGTACATGAAATCAAAATGTAATTTTTGTTATCTTCAACTGTAATTCAGCTTATCTATCTCAAAGTCCAATACTTGTTTGGGTAACCAGGTTATTTTTTGGCAAAGCAGTGCTGTAGATACACATACATATTGAGATAAAATGTTACAGATGAAGATACACATTCTGTGATTGAGAGAACAACTATGAACTGCTTTTTGCTAATCCATCTTTCTATATAGTAAAACAAGTTTTTGGGTGGATTTTTCTGTATATCTTCATCTGAGCTGCTAAGTGTGGAATTATTGTCCATACATAATGCTAATTTTCAATCTGCAATTCTCCTTAAGTATCTTTCTACTATCTTGACTTAATCCGGTCTTCCTTTGTTGATGCATTTACCTTCCTGCATAGTGTCCCTATTACTGTTGTAGTTTCTGGCATAATGACTATTTAGTAGCTAACTACTAAAACCCTGTAGGTCCATTATGAAGAGTAAATGAACCATATAAGTAACTGAAGTGCAGAGGTCAGAGTCAGAAGTGAACAAGGAAACAGATGAAAACCTTGAGAATATATGTCTAACCAATAGAAAGCATTTACATAGAGACATGCAAAGTAAGTCTTTTGACTGAAAAAGAAAAACATAATTCCTAACTACCTCTACATCTACTACCTCTAATTATTAATAAGTTATAAGTTCAGAAAGCCAATGCATTCAAACAGCTATGAGAATGAGATTTACTCTTTACACCCCCCCCTTTTTTTACATTTGTTTCTTAATCTTGGCAACTTTAAGATCCATGTACTTCAACTGCCAGGATTCTCCTGCCAGCTAGGTTGAGAAATAGAACAAAGAATCCACATTGATGTTTTTATGCAATACCTAATACTGACCCATTAAAGGATAGCATATGTATTTATTTGTGTTGTGTACTAAAAGCAACGATTGCTTTTCAGCAGGTAGTGATTTTCACAGGGAGCATAGAGCTGGTAATTGTGTATGTATGTACATTTTGGTTGGCAAGCATTTGAGGAAACCTCCTAATTTCCTTACAGTCCCTTGCTGTGTCAATATATTCTTCTCACAAGCATTTCCCCCTTTTCTTTTCTGCTTCACTTGGAACTAGATGTCTCTGATCCAGGTAACTAGCATTTGGGGTTAAACCATCTCCCTTTGGACTAAATAAAAAAGGACTTTGGCAGCAAGACTTAAAAGCATGCTCATTTTTCTGGATTTTTGACTTTTCTGGAAAAGTCAATAGCTTGAATCCCCAAAGCCTTCTGAACAGATATTGTAAAACAAACCAGATGCCATAACTACTCTGTTATTTCTCAAGAATGCTCGTTGTTGGAGATGGTTTAAATGGGCACCTTTTAGCAAACTTACTGGCAGATATGTTTATATAAAATGCTTCCCTAGGGCCTGATTTTTAAAAAGCATCCTACCAAAAAGAAATGATAGGGAAGCTGAGTCATATAGAATGATGGTATCTCTAGTTAAACATTGAAAAGACCTGAGAAAATAGAAGGTCAACGTTACTTCCTGGCAAGGACTTGGAGCATGGCATAGTGGCACCAGCTGACATAGTCATCTATTCTGAGACTTGGGTAATGGTAGCAATGATTCTTAGAGGAAAAGATAGCTTTCAGATGCACATATTCTTAGTTCATAAAATGATACAGTATCTGATATTTCATATTATCTATGTCACAGAAGAGTCAACATTTATGTATCAGCCAGAGCTGGTAGAAAGCAGTTCATGTCTCAGAATGTGTCTTCAAGAGATAAGTCACATTCAAATTATTGCTCTACAATATAAAAATGAGCAATTTACAGGAAGCAGTAGAATTAAATTTTTTTTTCTGTTTCTTCAGCCTCAGAGAGTGTAAAAGACCAGGCTGATAGTATGATAATTTTAGGTGGGACTGAAATGTTACTTAAAAGTATCCTACTTCTAAATTTAGATGAATAAGGGGTGAAATGATTATATAAATTTTTATAAAGGTTTGCCATGTAGCAAACAAATTGGGAAAAGCTATATTCCTTGAAAGTTGGTATTTTTGCTGCTTATTTATTTAGCATATGGCAAATACATGGACTTATAGTGGTACAAATGTTAATGTCCAGTCTTCCCACCCATTCAAGGGCAGAGTGGTCTATGTTGAAAAAATCAGACATTGGGCCGGTGTAAACGCTTGATGGACATTCGGACACAATGGAATGGATATTTTGTCGAGGAGCACCACAGGCACGCTAAGTTTTGGCTACATATTCTGGAAGTGCTCCAGAAGTTGTAAAAGGAATGTTAGGCCTATAGCCTGTGATTACCAATCCATAATTGAGATTACAATAATCTCCCACAAAAATCCATTCTTAATTATCTCAAAATTTCCTAGCTTTCAGCTGCCTAATAATAGTATAAAAAGTCATATTTTTATCACCAGTGTTAAAATAACTGATAGTCAAGGATCTTTTATCATTTTCTGAAAATCAAACATTTTCCAATAGATTCCAATCTACTTTGTGCCAACTCTTGCTTCTCAGGCCTGAGAAGCAAATATTTGCTTCAACATGATCTCAGTCAAATGCTGATTGCCATATTTTAATTCCCTTTGTTGTTTTCTGCCATAGACCTTGGGATTTTTCAACGTATAGCTATAGTATTGTACACAGATTATATACAACAATGCAGCCGACCCATGTACATGGTAAGTACTTCCTTCAGTCCCTTGAAGGTATCTCTGATAGATTATGAATTGCTTTTCTTTCTCATTTGAAAACATATACATTAGTTTAAATAAAACAATGGTATTATTTGCCACTGCAATAGTAATCTATTTTCTGAAATTATTTTGACTAGACAAACTACAGATGAATTCCACTTGGAATTCTTTATCCCGGTCTCATATGAGATGCACCTGCTCAGAACCACCATCTGGAACTTTCTCTGCTTGACAAAATTCTTAGTGGGAGGCCCACTCTCCCCTGTGCACACAGATAGTCCTCAAAATCTGACCATTCATTCAGTCACCATTTGAAGTTCAGCCACTGAACAAACACCCAGTCCCTGAAGTTATTATCACTGCAGTTACCCCCACATCACATGATATATGAGTGTGTGGCAGAAGTCCACACTTACAACCTCAAAAACACTTCACTTCCTCCACCCATCTCTCTCCCCCAACTCTGGTCTTTTGGTCTCCCTACCTACACAATGGCACTCCTCAGCTGGGGTGGTGGCACTGAGGTTGATATAGAAGCCTGGGGCCTTCAGCAGTCAATTCTGGGCCTCTCAACCCAAGTTCCACTGCCACCAGGGAGTGTTGCCTGGCCCATGTCACACCCAACCATCCAATGCCATAGCACCAAGCTTCAGGTGCTCTCACCATTCTCCATTCCATTTAACCTGCTGGCCTGCTCCCTAGCACTCCACTGGTCATGCCAGCCTACCAGCCATGTCATCCTATGGTCTGCTTGTCCTGCCAGTCTTGCCATTCCCAACTGACCTTTGCCATCTTCCTCCTGCTGCTGACAAGGTATGCCCAGCCAGGCTCTATGTGAGGCAGCTGCTGACCATACATTCATGAGAATGGCCCACACTATCTCTGAAGACCCTATTTGGAGAATCCACATGAAGCCTTGGGAAGAAGGCCTGACAGTAATTGCCTCACATAGGGCCAAACTGGGTGTTCCTCATCAGCAGGGGAAGGAAGACCGAAGGTCAGTTTAAAAGATACATCACCCTGTTCTCCTTGAATAATTATTATGTAATTAAGTTACCAAATGGTAGATTTTGAATTAACATATCCTAACAGAGATAGTAACTTCCCCTTAAATGTTTTGAAGCAAAGACTGGGAAAACATTTCTCAGATATCTTTTAATCTGGATTCAGGATTGGACTAGAGAGCTCCTTATGATTTTTTTATAAATTTTGTAACTTAATTCCTGCATTCAAATGACCAAACTACTCTGGATGATGGAGAGTGATTTGGGTTTGCATGGCATATATGGAATGCAAGTTGAAATTTCTAAATTATCAAACATGCTCTAAAAGCTTATGATGATGCTAAAGCAAATGCAATGTATATCAGATATGCAACTTCACATCACATGTATTAGAATTAGCATTAGATCCTCCCATGCTATGCAGCATATTGAGCAGCAAGGCCTCTCCAGCATTTTCAGTCATGGGCAAGTGTTTCAGCATCTTCCTGTGTGCTGTTTAGAGCATTCTTCACCTTTTTTTGAGGGCATCCTCTTGATTGTTTGGCATGAGGGGGGAGTGTCCATCTCATTGCCAACTTTTGAGATTTGATTGTTCTCCATGTGGAAAATAAGACCTGCAAGCTGCAGTCTTCTGCATGTAAAAATGTTATGAAGTGTGCAGGAGAAACCATATTACTTCATTAGTAATATGATCAAAATAGTGAATCATTAGGATTCAGCGAAGGAATCTTTCTTGAAAGACGTTAAGTCTCTTGTTAATACTTGCTAATGCCTTCCAAATCCTGCTGGCATAAATGGCTGTCGGGATCACTATAGAGATGAGCAAATGGAGTTTATGTTTTAGTGATATAGATGACAAGGACTAGACTTTATTTATCTTCTGGAAAACAGCTGTTGCTTTTCCAATGCAGCACCTGATGTCTATCTCTGCATCACCATTTCAGGCAATTACTCTACCCAAATAGGTAAACTCTACCCAAATAGGTAAACCTACTCTACCCAAATAGGTAAATCCTATTTCCTCAAGTTATTGTGATCCAAGTGTGATTTTCTGTATCTGTGCAGTAGAATCACATACATGATCTTTGATTTCTTGGCACTTATCCTAAGGCCAATTTTGTCTTCATCTTTATCTAAGGCAGTCATCTCTTGTAGTTCCATCTTGTCTTCCTCTTGTAGGGCAATATAATCTGCAAAATCCAGGTTGCCAAGATGGTCTTGGTCAGAATAATGAATGCCTTTCCCAATGTGGGATTTTCATTGCATAACATAGTCAAGGACCACGAGGGAGAGGAGTGGTGATAGAATACAATCTTGTCTAAGTAGTAATTTTGAAGATCGTATGGCCATTTTCGGTCTTAATGTAGCAGCTTGATAGTAGGTGTAAATCCTTAAAAATAGTAATGAAGACTGTTGGTAAACCATATACTGTAAATGTAGGATTTGCCAGAGAGATTCTCAGCGGACACTGTCAAATGCTTTCTTAAAATCAATAAAGTTGCAAACTTTTTTTAAAGTTGTTTTTGTTGTTCAGTGCACTGTTCTATATTTCATAAGGTGAAGATTTGTTCACAGCAGGACCTTCTACACTAAAATCCAGCTTGTTCTTCTTTCAGCTTGCCTTAGGCAGCTGTCTTTGCAGCTGTCTAAGGAAAACTATGTAAAAAGTCTTTTCAGGCACTGAGAGGAGTGTAATGCCCCACCAGTTGGTGCATTCTTAACCTTGATCAGAACACTGGAGCTATTCCTTATTCCAGTCAGTTCATTAGAGATGTAATAAAGAGTTTAGGAATCATTCTGATTTGTTGCTTCTTGCACCTTAATGCCTTTCTGTTTTAGCCATTCTTTCTTGTCTTCCCAGCAATTTCTCTTCACAATCTGGTTAAGATCTATACATTTCCAGTTTTTTTATTTAATCCACATAATTTTAAGTATACTGTTAGTTATTTCCTGTTGAAAGCAGGAAACAAAAATGTTGCTCTGATTTGATTTCAATTGTTCATTTTTGTTTATTCTTTCTCTTCTCTAGGACAGAATGATTTTGCTTGTTGTTGGGAACTTGGTTAATTGGTCTTTGTAAGTAGCAAATGTATGTTTATATGTTTGTAGATTTATTTTGTAAAATCAAGAGATACAAGTGCCAGTTGAAGAAGCTCTGTCTCTGAAATAGTGCTGCCTGCTATTTTTAAAACATTTTTCAAGTTGGCTATTTAAAGATATTTAACAATTTCTTCCCATTCTTTGTTCCCCATCCTGGAAATTCCAGAATTCTTAATGTGATTATTTCAGCATAGGAACCAGACTTCATTAGGGAATTAACTTGGTAACTATTGGGATCCATACTAGTTCATTCCTTTCCCCATTCCCCTTAAGTTTGATTTAGATTTCACTGCACACCTAGGGAATATATGTGTCTGTTGTGTCTTTCAAAATGAAATTCAAAGTGAATTTTAATCCACTAGTCCATACATTGTCATGTTTATCTAGCATTATATTATACCCAAAAATGTTTGCCCATTTTACCATGCAGTCTTTTACATATTTGTCTTCCAGGTTTCTCTTGAGTAACATTTTATATACTTTAGCAATCATGTGGTCATCTCCAGAACATAAATTGATACCCAATTCAGTGAAAACAAAACTTTTTTTTATCAAGTTTAAATATTTCAAAAATTCTATAATAATTAAACGAATCATAAACAAAACCTTCACTCACTAATTGTTGTCCTGAGAACAAGAGAACATTTCTGGAGCCATTTTTAATTAAACTAGTGGATTTATGGCAAGAGGTTTTGACAAATGGGTGATCTTTCTTTGGTTTTCAGGTAGATCCAGATGCTTTACTACTATAATTAAAACAATTCATTAAAGCATGGTTATATTTTCCTGTCTAGAAAATCATAGTTGTTCTAAACATATTAATCTGGATCAGCTTTGCATGGTTTTGTGCAACCGTCTTGGATTATGTTGTCTTTATTCTTCTCTCTTAGTGCAATTTTTGGACTAGTATATCGGCCAAGGGATTTTGCCTCTTACATGCTGGGCATTTTTATCTGCAATCTTTTGCTATATCTTGCCTTCTATGTCATCATGAAGGTCAGTGGTTCTTATTACTTGTTAGTTAATATTTTTTATATTGCCAAATTTAAGACTGCTTTGAAGGGGGAATTAGATTATTATTGTATGCAATGGTGGATTTCAAATTTTTTTAGAACCTATTCCGTAGGTGTGGCCTGTTTTGTGGGAGTAGCTCAGTGGTCATGTGACCAGGTGGGCATGGCCAACTTGGAACATGTGGTGAAAATTAACAACGCTCTTGCTTAGCAAACAAATTTTTGGGCTCAATTGTGGTCATAAGTTTTCTTTCTTTCTTTCTTTCTTTCTTTCTTTCTTTCTTTCTTTCTTTCTTTCTTTCTTTCTCTTTCTTTCTTTCTCTTTCTCTTTCTTTCTTTCTTTCTCTTTCTTTCTTTCATCTCTCTCTCTCCCACTTTTCTTTTTTTTCCTTTTTTCTTTCTTCCTTTCTTTCTCTCTCTTTCTCTTTCTGTCTCTGTCTCAGCCCCAAGCATGCCAGTCTTGGGAGTGAGGGAATGAGTGAAGACCTTTTCTGGCCGGCACAAAGGACTTCCCCAGACTTGCTTTGCTGAGCACGGGGCGACGGGCCCGCACCTCCACCACCACCAATCCAGAAAAGATTTTCAGTCATTCCCTCTTGCAGCATGCCCCGATCCAAAAAATGCCAAGATCGGCATGCTTGGGGCTGCTGCTGCGACACCCAGAGAAGCTAAACCAAGCCTTGCAGCTTTCTGAAGTGCCGAGAACCTTCACACTCTTCTCCATGCTCTCCTCGTGACTGCAACAGACGTCCAGAAGCAGCGGGGGCTGTCAGGCTGGAAACCCAAGCCCCATTAGCCCCAAAAAGCCATTGTACCGGCAAAGAACTTACCTCCTCGGCAGGCAGCAATAGAGAGTCAAGGGCTCTCTATAGGGCTGTTAGAGGCGTGGTGCGGATGGGCGGGGGGAGCAAGGGGATGAGAGTCGACCGGATGGGTGGGGCCCAGGGGTGAGCGAGTGAGGGGGCGTTCCACCGGTGGAACCAGTTCTAAACGGCACGCTAGATTTATGGAACCTCTTCTAGCGAACCGGTTAGAACTGGCAGGAACTCACCCCTGATTGTATGGTAGAATATGTTCACTCAGTGCTCATCTTTTAGATATGCCCTTCAAGAGTTGATTACAAGTTTTTAAGCCTTTGGATAAGAGACCTCAGTGAATATTATTAATTTATGATGAAGTTATTGTTAAGAGACAGAGACTATATATTTTGAATAATCAGAGTACATATGGTCTATCTAAACTTGGAAAGGCACAAATCAACTATTATATTAAGTTAAATACAGGTATTAACTGCATTCCACAACCTCAAATGTAAAGGGGGAAACACAATTTATCAAAGTTTACAATTATCATTAGGCTCTTTATATGGAAATACCAGGTGAAAAGAAGGAAGAGAAAGCCCCCATACTTCCAGTCAAAGATGAGATTAGTCCCCTTCCAGATATGAACTGCTGTCATTTTAGGATATCTGCACATTTTAGATGTCTAAGCAATGCTAACAACATGGTACTATAGAAGAAATTCAGGCAGATTCCTCTTCCTTCCAACAAGGGCTGGGGATAGGCTAGCTCTTCAAAGTTAGAGAAAGCTAGACTGGCTTGAAGAGAAAATGCTAGCTTTTCTAACAAAAAAAAAAGATCAGTTCTCCGTTTTATGTGCATCTCATAGGAACCCCCCATTCAAATATTATTCTTTTTGTCTCTTCAGCTCCGCAGTTCAGAGAAGCTATTGCCTTTCCCGCTCTTTTGTATTGTGGCCACAGCTGTGGTTTGGGCTGCAGCTCTTTATTTCTTTTTCCAGAACCCCAGTAGCTGGGAGGTAGGTTCCTTTCTTTTTTCTTGTTTCTGTTACACTTCAGGAGTATTTGAAATGATCAAAGGTTACCAGAAAGAAAGGAGTCAAAGAAACATTAGAGAACATATGGACAAAATTTCAGAATCAAAATTGTTTTGATTTAAAATTCAGCTTTGGCTTCCTTCACTGTCACCTAATTTCTTATGCCAAGATCTATAGAATATTAATATAAAACTGGTGTGATCTTTTAACTTATTGTTGAATTCTAAGTCATATAGAAATACATTATTCAATTTTTCTCCTTCCCTTTCAAAAATTTATAAAGAACACGTCTCTTAAAACCATTCTTTAACATCCAAAATGTAAATTTCTACATATATAAAGACCATTCACACCTGAATTCCAGGTTGGGTAAAACCAGAGCATCTCATTAAAAAAGCAAAACCATATTTTTGGTGTAATTCAGTTTCACCAATTACTTATAAATACCTTTTTATTAATGCTGCTGAGGAAAATTATTGAACATTTTAGCATTTGAAAATCATGGACGTTATATAGTTGGTACTATCATTTTAATTAAATTTGATATTTATTACATAGCTACTTATATTAAATACCTTCTAAAAATCTCAGAGCAGCTTACATAGGAAACCTTAATAGATTGATTCACTGGTTTTGTCTTTTCACCATTTGTTTCCTCCTTAGAGTGAGTTTGCTGTGCTTTTCATAGTTAGGTTGAGAAGAGCATTTAATCACTGAGTTATAAGGCTAGATCAGACATAAGGTTGCATTTTCTGTTGGGGAACATCTAGAATTCACTGATTTCATCATTTCCTCCAGGAAACTCCAGCCCAGTCTCGTGAAAAAAACCGACCATGTATTGTTCTGGGATTCTTTGATGACCATGATATCTGGCACTTCCTCTCAGCTGCTGCCTTGTTCTTTTCATTCTTGGTGAGATTTTTCTTAATAACAAAATAATATCCTAAAGTGAATCATGTTAGGATTTATTCCTAGCCCTATCGAGCAGTATAACATCATATAATTTGTGATGTTTTCTTTCTTGCAATGAAAATGGTTTGTCTTCCATAATGAAAATAGATGCTTGCCCCAAATATGTTGTTGCTTATCAACCACTCATTAAGTGACCATTTCAAATTCCAATTGTACTGAAAAGTGAGATTTATAACTGATTCTTGAAGTTGCAGCTTTTGCAGCATCTTTGCAGCCATGTGATCATAATTTGGGCATGTGGCAAACAGGAAACATTTACAGTGGTTGCAGTATCCACAGTCACATGATCACCATTTGCAACCCTCGGTGGTGGGGCGCCCAGCCCCTCTGATCACCCTGATCGTGTTTCCCTGAAAATAAACCCTGCTGCATCTTTTGGAGAAAAATAATAAAACTGTGTCTTATTTTCAGGGAAACACAATATATGTCCATTCAGCCACCAAGCTTAATTGGATCACTTAAGGAAACAGCATATTGTTCAGACCTATTCATGTTAGGGTCAGAATCAAGTTCCAGTTAGTTTTAAAATACCTCGAGCCATGTTTTACAAATGCAGAAGGGGTTAACTCTCCATTCTGGCCTTGTCATAGAAACAGTATTTAAAGCATTCTAAAGAAGTGAGTTTACAATTTTAAGAAAGGGCTTGTATTCCTTTTTAATTATCTTTATTAAATTAAAGGAAAGAACCAATATTTTCTGTGGTAGTAAATTATGTTAGATGCTACCCTTAAATGTGTTTTAGATAATTTTTGTGAATATTATATATGTTGTGATGTTTTATTATTTGTTTGCACAGTGCTTAGGTATTAAGTGTGGGCTAAATTAAAATACTACAACTGCTAGAAAAAAAATGTTTTGCTATTGGGAAGATGGTTTTCTTTTAAAAAATAATTTGAGCCAAAAAAAAACACCCTGCAGACCTATTTTTTTAAAAAATAACACATTATTTGAGTCAGACATAGACAACCTTCCTGTTACATTTCACTTAAACCCATGTTAAGAAGGAAGGCCATGGGAAAATAACCTCCAACAAAAATTGTCAAAATAGAAAAAAAATCTTATGAAACTTCAGTAGCTGGATTCTGGGACAGCTGAATATCCTAATCTGGTGGAAATAGTTCATTTGGCTGTTGATAACCATGTACTAAGATGGAAACAATTGCCTAAAGATGTACTCAAACTCCACCATCCAAACAAGTGTCCAATACAAAGCGTATTTATGCATTCAGCCTTTCTTGGGCCAGCATGGCTGTCATGCCTAAATGTGTCCCTTCTACTACTGTTAATTTAAGAAGCCAGAGGATGCTTCTAAAAAGATTTAGTATTTTAGTATTTTAGTATTTTATTAGGATTTATAGGCCGCCCTTTCTCACCTCTCTAGACAACACTCCTATTTAGCCAGCTTGCTTTTTGTTGTTGCTGTTGTTATTCTTGGCTTGGAGAAATATCCTTGGAAGGAGCACTTCCAGAAGCTATTTGGGTTGCATTTAAAGGTTTCTGATTTAAACTCCCACATGAGAAAATCTGAACGTAGTATACATTATTTTCCCTTTGTCACCAGTTGGACCAGATTGTATCTCAGATTCTTTATAGAATTAAAGTTACATGGGTGTCCACCAGGGGAGGGAAAGCACATTAATTGCTATGACTTGCATGCTTGCATTAGACATCAGAATGCCTGTACTATAATTTTGTTTCTTTTATATATTAAATTTGGAGACCACCCATCTCCTTCACAGAGCACATCTGGGCAGTGTACAATACAAAACATAAAAGTTATGGTTTTTATGGAATTATAGAAATTATGGAAAACACATGATTCTTGGCCCTCAGAAAATCAGTTTGCTGTTCATAGTGACATCTTACAGTATGGTATTTGTATCACCAAATCCTGAAATAAGGATTATGTGCAGTGGGAAAAATAGCTGTTGTTCAGATTTCTAGGAGTAACATGTCAGGAGAACTATCCTGACTACAAAACTGATAAGACATTTCTGCTTATTCTTCCATTTTGTACCAAGAAAAAAAAACATACAGATTTTTTGATGTGCCTGTGATATTTTCTTGCTCTAGGGCCTGCTGACCTTGGATGATGACTTGGATTCTGTGCCAAGGAACAAGATTCCTGTATTTTGAGCTACAGGATAATTATAGTGTTTGATCCTTCTCGGTGAAATGTGCCATGTGGAGCAGTCAGAACAGACCACCAAGTACACATTGGAAAGAACCTTCTTGGAAGCAATTCCCATATAGGAAAAAAACAACAGCAAAATCATATCCTCAACATCAGCTGGATCAGATCTATAGTATAATAATGCATTATATTGAGACTAATCAAGCTGAGGTGTTCATAGGCTCCCTGAGGCCATTCTTCACTTTCTTATAATGGGGTTTATTCCCAGCATTGTAGTTTCTGAGTTTGTAATTTACTAAATGCACACTGTAGCCCTTTTGGCTACAGTGGAACGTTGGTATTCAATTGCTTTGAAACTCATTGAATTTGGTACTCAATGCATTTTGACACAATTTTTTAATCCCAGTACTCATGTTTGTTTGGTACTCGATGCATAAGCTAGAATTTGTTGGGGTCAGTTGCCTTGTGACTCACTATATTATTCCTTATGGGAGAAATTTGTTTGGTACTCATTGTGTTTGGTACTTATCGTGCCTCCTGGAACCAATTAATGAGTATGAAGGTTCCACTGTACTTATGTTCTGTTGCTTGATTAGTCAGAATTACTTTATGCAATACATTTAAGATCGTGCAAAATAACTGTTATGTGGGTAAGACAGAAAAGACCCAATTGTCTCCCCTATTGCTTAATCCCAGAATTATATTCAGGGGATGCTGTGTAGATGTTTGTGCCATGCTTTGCTAAATTTAAATTAAAGCATGTCTCAGTATTATCAATTTGAATTACTTAAAAGTGTTTAACCTTTAAGTATATTTGGACTTTCTCTTAATGGTTGTTTGACAGCTAATGACAGTCCAATTTTCTTATCAATTCACTTTGGTTAAAAAAATACTAAACACTAGAATTCTGCTTTTCGCTAGGTTAAACCTTCTCTATATTTAAAGGAAATCTAAGAACAAAGGAGACTTTTTTTCCCATCCAGAGGTCTTTTATGCGTGCCTGGGTGGCATTCTGCATCATATTCCAAAAGGGTGCAAGGGTGTGCAGGAGTCCTAATGTAGCACTTCAGCAAAGGAACCATATCTTTTCCAATGCATGTTTTGGGTCAGTGTTTTTCAAACTTGACAACTTTAAAATGCCTAAACTTCAACTCCCAGAATTCCCAGTTAGCATCTTAAAGTTGCCATGTTTGAAAAACACTATTATGGGTCTCTTTTTGGAACTCCCAAGCCAAAGCATTACACAGCCTAAATACACTGTACTCCCAAGTCACATTTTCTAAAAATGTAGCAGTCCCAAATGTCTTCCCCTATCCCTAAACAAGTTGCTGATCAATAAATCTGAAAACCACTGTCCTTGCATAGCAACCAAAGCAATGCTTTGACCCACTATTGATAACATTCTATGTTGTGTCCAAGAATCAGTCTGGCTATTTTGAGGTTCTCGCTATGGCTGAGCAGGTGGACAAATGAAATTGGAACAAATTAGTGGGACAAAATTGCTGGACTTTTTAGTTGTTTACCTTCTTAAAAATTACAATCTTAAACTTTGGGTATGGTATTTAAATGTAAGATAATTGCTTTTGCTTTTTGTTTTTCCTGCAGGGGAAGAATTATAAAGCACAAGCAGAACACAAAATGATAGTGCACAAACTGTACATGTTTAAAAATAAAATACTATTTTGTTTATATCTATACAATGTTTACAATCAATATAATTTTACATTTAATAAAAATCTGAATTTTTTAAAAAAAATCCAAGGTTGCAGGTATTTACATACAAATGCATTCAACTTGTAAAAAGATGTCAAAATAAAAAAAACTTATTTACAATAATAAACATTCTTTACAAGCTTATCTTCAAGATCTTGAAAATTTCTGGGGGACCTTAAGTAGAGGATAGAATATTATAGAACACACAACAACATACATTCTTAATTTGCTGAAAAGTGTTGCACAATCATCTTAATTTCAAAACAGGAGGGAGCTTAGACAATTCTTCTATGTGCACAAGGAAACTGTCATGAAGGACAGCAGCAAAAGAAAAGTATGACTGTAGGACATAAACCTATAGGCTCCTGTGCAGTGTGACAAGAAGTTTTCTTTATCTGTTCCCATTAAAAGAATAAGGTGTGACTACCTATACCCAACAGAAATCCTAAGGTATTATAAACATGTGATCTATAGCTTCTGTTTTTTCACTGATTCAGCCACTATTGTATTCTATTGCACCTTAGTAATAAGAAAAGATCAATTCCTCATGCACCCAAAATTGACATCTAATGGAGTTTATAAACCTCAGAAGTCCCCAATGCTTTATGAGCTTTTCTAGCATATGAGAAGCTTCAAAACACATCCGTGTCAATAAGACAATATGATAAGATTACAGAATTTATGAGATCATACAATGGGAAATTTGAAGTTAGAATCCTGAAATAGTTTCAGATAAATTGACAGAATACTAACATTTTAATAATTTCAAAATGTTAAAGGCATTCTTTAAAGATTCCTTCATGCCATTTTTAAATTATTTTGAAGGGCACTATTATCTGAAATAAGAAAAAAAAATAGATTTGCAGAATGCATGGAATCTCATTAGAGAGCTGATCTTTTGCTAAACACAACCCTTTGTTAATAATCAAAACTAAGGTAATTTATCTGCAGTAGCAATTTTATCACTGCAGACAATACCAAGAGATATATTGAAAATATATTTCCGCATGAAAATACACTTGAAAAATACTAATAATAGTCTATACTGACATCTACCAAAAATTCTAACAAGAAATACTGATAAATGCTCAGAAAGTAGCTATTGGTTTATATGAATACATAGTGAAAGTCTGAATTTTTTTTTAATCTCTTGTCATAAAAATTGTTACACAAACCAATATGCAGAATATCATATTCTTCAATCAAGGCTTCCTCTTTGCACAACTGTCTCAATGAAAGGGAATACGGGTTCTCCTATTAATTAAATACTCTGCCATTTACTTGCATTTTCTTTTCATCTGTGCATCAGACTCTTCCAATACATTTTCAGAAAAAAACATTTAATACTCAGAAATCACAAAAGCACACATTATTGCATAGAAAATTTCTTCAAGAAACTGGTATCCTCTGCCGGTCAATATATTTTTGTCCAATTCACTTCCAACTGTTTCATTCTCACTACGTGCTGTGCATTTAAATTGGTTAAGAAGAGTACCTGGTTTTTTCCATCCTTGGAATATGATTACAGGAATTTGTTTTCTGTAAACAGCAGAAATAGCCAACTCATAAGAGGGAAGAAAAAAAAGTAAAACTAAACTATCTGGCCTATTTGTATGAACTCTTTGATTTGTTAGCATGTTCTGCAGAAACTCTAACCCAGTAAATCCTGGAAATACAGGGGAATACTTTTAAGAGCAAACATCTCTGGCCACTCTCATTGTAGGAAGACTCTCTTTCTTCCTGCTATCAAAAACAAAGTCTGTCCCTCAAATTGGGCTGCTTTACAGGACCTTATAGAAACAGAAACAAAGATTTAGCAATTTATCAGAATAATATCTTAGACAATGTACTGATGTCACCGTATTTTTTTCCATCAGCTGTGTGGAGAGACAAATAGAAACAATAATAGTGTGTGTTTTTTTTAAATCAGAGTGGTGCACTAGGATTGTTTTGAGCCTGACAAAAATATTCCCTTGTTGCTTTACCCAGTGTTTTGGAATGCTAAATCAAGTATGTGTATGTGTGTGTGTATATGTGTGTCTGTGTGTGAGACAGACAGAAAGACAGACTTTTTTCATTCTCATCTTATGTTATCAAGACCACAATTCCACTAAATACCATCTGATTTTTTCCCCCTCTAACTTGACAAAATTGTGTTATGTATGTAATCAGTTTGCCTACAGACTTCTATAACTCTGGTTCATTTTATATATCAACATTACTAGTTTCTTATTATTAAATTTAAAAAAAATGTAAAAAAAAAAGGGGGTAAGGAAATCTAAGAGGGTTTTAAACAACAACAACAAAAATCAACCCAATACCTGAGAAAGCACATGGTAATCAGTGGCAAAAAAAATAAAAATTCTATATTAAGTGGGAGGAAATTGCTACATTACTATTTCTATTCCTGTTAACTAGAAATCTTGAAAATGAAGCAATGATTTCCATACAGTTTCAGAGAGGTCATCAGAAACTAAGCATGGCATTACATTGAAATTGAAGAATTTATAGCACAGAGATGTTTATATCAATTTTAAAAAGCAACCTAAATTTTCTCCATACATCTTGTGTAAAATGTTACTTTCCAAGGACCTGCAAATGAAACCATTCCAAAATGATTGTTATAAATCTTTACAAATGATAAATCCAAGTTTATACAAGTATATATGCATTACACATATAAAAATGGGTATTCAAAAAAAAATTCACCCCTTCCCATTCTTTTCACACAGCTGAACTGCAGTCATGACCTAGAATATGGCTTATATTATGGGCAGGCCGATTTGATGATTGTTTCAAAGAGTCAGAACCAGATGTATTTGCTATTGAGAGCAGTGGCGAGATTGCTGATCCATCTGAAGGAAGAGCTGTAGCTATTTCCGGGAATAAAGAAGTCAAATTAAAATTGGACAAGTGTGATGAATTGGCCACATGCATTGAAGGCATATCTGTCAAAAGGGGAAAGCTTGGCTGAGCAAAACCAACTGGTCTGGGAGGTGACAAAATAGAACCAAATCGATTATTTAAACCTCCACCATTTGGCTTCTCTGTACTTGGATTAGAAAACATTTGGTTAGAAAAATAAGGAATTGAAATGTCATTAGACAGGGAGGGATGTGCAGGAGAATATGGTGGATAGAAAGACGGCAATGTATTCTGAGGATCAACTGGAATCAGGGCTGCTGTGCGGGTAGCATTGGGTTGAGTTACTGGTGGAATAAATGAAGTGTTAGCATTTACTGGGGGATTCATTCCACTTTCTGGAATAAAAGGGAATCCAAAATTTTGAGACAGTGTGTGCTGTTCAGCAGCTGTACTATCATGAGAGACATGTGGCCCTTCAGGCATGAATCGTACAATGCTGCTCCTTTTTTCAAGGGTAGGCTGCTGTCGCCCAAGGATCATTCCTCCACCAGTGGATAAAGGGAGTTGGGAAAGAGAAGGTTCAAACACATTCCCATGCCTCTGATTTGCAGAACGATTTCTTTCAGACTGGCGAATTTTAGAGCCACCATTATCCTGTAAAGGATGTCTTGATCGATCAGTGGCTGAAGAATTGGTTTGACGAACAGATGGAGGAACCTGGTCAGCATTCCCACGAGAGACTGGTGCATAGTGAAGAGGACGTGTAGCTCCATGTACATTGCTAGAAGCTGAGGCATTTAGGTGACCTTTTGTTCCATGGCTCTCTGTTATTCTCATGGAATTAGATTTCTGGATAGAAATATTGGGACTTGAGTTGCGGCCCTGAATATCTCCAGAAGAACTTGAGAAGGGAATAGTTAAAGCATTGTTCCTACCATTAATAGTACCAAGAGACATATCACAACTTTCTCTGTTCTGATCATCACCTTCCCTCCGAATATGAATACTTTCTCTTGCTGGGGCACAATTATAATCAATATTTGAGGAACTGGAACACTGTGGATTTCTCTGATGTTCTGAAATTGGTCTTTGGTTTCCATTAGCTTGATCTCCAAGATGAGGAATAAGTAAACTTTGCATGAATCCTTGGTGGCATGTATTCTCATTGTCTCTTCGGGGAGGGAGAGGATTTCCTGTTGAAATGCTTTGAACTGGTTGATAAGACAATCTCTTTTGTCTGTCTATTGGTGGTCCAGCATTTTGGGCAAGTCGAAAACTCTGTGTCTGCATACCCCTGAGAGAGTTACTTATTTCATTACTTCTTGAAGATTGCACATCAAAATTACCTGTAGGCTGTTGGTTAATGGCATTCACCTTGAATGTTTGACACTCAGAGAGTCTCTGAATGTCTGATCCAAGTGAATGATCTACAGATACACGATTTTGTGTATTATGAATTACTAGTTCTTTATTCCTAGATACATCAGCATAGTTTCTCATTTCAAGATGATCTGAAACTTTGAAGCTCTGCATGGACACTCCGAGCCTGTGTTCTGAATTAGATGAAGACTTCCCAATAAGTGCCTCTGCAGAGTAGCTACTAACTCTATTTCTTTCTTGTCTATGAGGGAGACAGGAAACATCTGGTCTAGACACAATACTAGGTTGAGACACTATCTGCTGCTCCAAAGCTCTAGAGGTCAACATTCTATGCATCTGACTATGTCCCGAGACATGTTCAGGAGGAACTCCAGAACTTGGTTGTCTGCTGCCCACATCTGATGACTGCTGATGCAGAATGTCCTGACTTGGGTGGCTCCGTGGGTGGCTATGAGTTCTACTCAAAGCAGTATTCTCACAATTCTTGTCAGGTTGGGAAGAAGGGTAATGCTGCTGCAATTGTTGAATCTGGGAGTGATGGGGGTGTGGCTGGCTACTCTTTGACCGTGATTGGTCATTTCCATGATGCTTTTGCTGTAAAGTAAGTGTGGTGGGCTGAGTGGCTTGAATGAGACCTCTCTTTTTCTGCAGCTGTGCCTCTTGATGCAATATTCTTTGCTGATGAGCAATATGGGTTTGAGTGTGTATAGAACTTTCTGCAGGAGAAATATAATGCTGAAGTTGATACAATTGATGCCGTTCTCTTAGCTGTCCAGGCTGCTGTTGCTGTGGTTTTATATATGGGTGATTAACCTGAAGATGAGCCATACCCTGAGAGAGAGCATGTTGGATTGGCTGCAGATGCTGTCCTGCTTGATCAAGGATAGGTGGATGAGAATTACATTGAACTTCAACTTGCCTCGAAGTAGGCGACACAAAATTGCTGGCTTGAAATAACCTGCTATGGCCATTGGTATGTCCTTGACTACTCACTGATACTGCAAGATTAGATGAGTTGGGGGGGATCTGACTCACACGGATCTGATTTTGACCCTCAATATCATCAGCTGTTTGATTCAACAGAGCCATGTCTTCAAGCTGTAGAGGTGCTGTCTGGCAATGTTTCTGCCTCTTTGATGTAGAAAGCATGTGATCATCTTGAATAGAACGCTTTGCTGATTCTTTGCGGCTTTGTCTTTGCTGCTTTAAATGTGGTTCACATATCTGTGGACCTTGCATCGTGTTAGTCTGAAGAGCAGATAACTGTTCAGAAGGATACTCTGCCATCAACCTTGGAGAATGTCCTGGAGACTGAGCCATATATGAATTAGCAGGGACAGATGGAGTCCCAGATACAGAAACAGTTGTTTGATCTGAAGATGATGGTACACCTGAGCAGCTTACTGGAGGATGTATGATACATGTTGGATGTATGAGATTATTCACACTCAAGCTGGAGGTACTTGACGGTTGTGCTGTTGGAATCTGCAAAGCTGTATCCGCCATTTCCAGTCTAACAGAACAACTTTTCTCTGCAGATAACTCAATGTTTATTTGCATTGAATTCTGGGTACTGAAATTGTTTGGCCCCGTTTCCATTTGATTAGTGTTTTTAACTGGATGGGCTTTGAATAGTTGGTCTTTTCCTAGAGATGCTACTTTACTACCCTTGGAAATAGAGGTTCCTGACATTGTTCCTGTATTTTTTGCAAGAGTCTCCTGGTCAAAAATTGCTCTTGCAGCTAGTGCTACAATATCTGTTTGCTCTGAAAATGTGCAGGTGCTATGTGTGTTCACCAAAGTGCTGTTGGAAACGTTTTCCCTACATGTATCTGGCAACATGGATGCAACAGAAAAGCCACAACTGCTACCTGAACTAGTTGACATGGGGGAGTCTACTTGCCTATTAGCAGTGATAGCTTCCTGATCGGAGGTGCAAGAATTAGACCGTGTGAGGTTTTCTTCTTCAGCATTTATCAGCAAGAGTTCTTCTTGTTTCCTTCCCAAATTATCATTTGAGCTGATATTTGATTTTGTGCTTTGGGTACAAAAACTGGGGTGCTCTGAAAAGGATTTTTGTACATCACCTACTTTATTAAACTCTGAGAACATTTTGGTTAGGCCCTGTTCTTCCAATAAATCTGAGGCCTGCATTACAATGGAACAATTTTGTTCCATCCTGCAGATCTCTGAGACCTCTGTTCTGGGAACATTCTCTGTATTCATTTCTCTGTTTGACACTGACGTCTCAGAAACTTGAGAAATTGTCACTGGAGAATCTGAAGAAGATGGTAGTAAAGGACTGGTGGATATACATTTGGATATTTCTGATAACTTAGAATTTGCTGTTGAGTTGGTTTGAGATTTACATATTTGAAGAGGTGGAGAACCACCGTCTGTGGAAATTGCAGGAACTACCTCATATTGTCCCAATAAGGATGATTCCAGGGACAATGGCCTAGGCACTCCAGCTGCATTCAGATCAGGTGCCAGAGTAGATTCCATGTTCTGTTCAGTTCTCAGTCTATCTTTGGGATGAGGATCAGAAGCATGCATATCATTTGATGATATTCTACAGTTTGCCTGTGGTACAGCTAAGCACTGCAAAACAACGGGCATATTTTCAAGCAATATGTCACTTCCTGAATGTTCAGATGCACTTGCCACATTCCTATCAGTTTTTTTGCATTCTTTTTCAAGATCTACTTGACATGCAAGGTTGTTGTTGGCGATTGAAGTTTTCTTAGTTCCTGAATTTTTATTAGACCATTTTGAACCCAAACCAGCAGCTTTAGGAGGAGAAATGTCTAGTGAAGATGAAGTACAGGTTAATCTAGAACTCTCAGCAGCTGAAGAGGAAGGTATTGTCACTGTTAGCAAACCAGGAGATATTGGTGCGCTTTGGCTACTAACAATTTTGAGGTTGGTAGACGGATTGCCAGACACTTGTTGACAGCTTTGGCCAGCCATCTGTGATATGCTTTGATTGAGGTTAGCTAAAGCACCAAATGCATTTAGGGCAATATTGGTATTTGGATCTTCACTGGTGGTAGGCTGAATAATTTGCATAGGGGTTTGATCTGAATCTCCAGAACAGGATTTCATAGGTTTTAATGCAAACAACTGTCCATTTAAAGAAATGGTCTGTGGAAGCTTTTGATTAGACATTGAAACAGAAAATGTTTGTGACAGGCAAGATGATGTTGAAGAGGAGGGCCTTGGTAAAATATGAACAAGATGTTTCCCACCAAACATATGAGGGCCAGAGGCACTTTGTATAAGATTGCCAGCATTTGTTCCATTCACAGGCATTTTAACAACTGATGGTGTTGAGAAAAAAGAGAGGGGATTTGGATTAGCAGTTTGTATTATTACAATCTGCTGGCTAACGGTCTGATTTGGGAGTTCAGCTCTCAGCACTGGAGGACAGGAATTAGCATTAGGAGGCTGGAGAATTACAATGTTCTGATTAATAGGTGATGTATTGATAGGGGTGGTGATTGGCTGAGATACTTGAATCACTTGCATGGCTGGATTCACGGGAAGGAGACTGCTTGCCATCTGCGCTCTAGTTTGTGTCTTACTAATTAGTGGCTGAATAGGTAAAGATGGATGAGATGGCAAGGTAACAACCAATTGGTCAACTGGGTGATCATCTGGAATTAGAGGGTTACTTAAACCAGCAGCATTGGCCAGAATCTTGTTTGGAGTGGAAGCTATAATATTAGCACCATTAATTGGCTCATTTAAAAGAGTTGTCATTATGTTGGATGGAGTATGATTTAGAGGCTGAACAGTGCTTCCAGCTAGCTGCAAGGTAGTCCAAGTGGTTTGGGTATTTCCAGCTGATGCGATTCTCATAAGATTACCAATGCTTTTTGACTCTGGAATGCCAACACCTGAAGAACTGGGAAAAGGCCATTTCTCTGCAGTAGTAGCAGGCACTATATTCAATTCTGTTACAGCCTTTGGGGCTTCTCGTTCTTGAGTTCTACTATCTAGGCTTTTGAAGACCTTTTCTGCAGATGTCTTTCCACCAATAGATGCAGCACAGGTTGAGTCAGCTGCAGAAGTTACACAGCTTCCTAGAGACCCACTTCTTGAACCCACTTCTGTTGGTATATTTGCTTGTTGACAATGAAGTACATCTATACTAACACTGGAAGAAAGGCTGGGGCTTAGTACACTTGTTTTCTCAATCGGCTTCAAACTCCCTTGTTTATTTTTAGATTTGGAGATGTCATTCTCATCTTGTGATGAAATCTGTTTTCCACTCTGCAATCTTACTAGCTGCGAGGTATTCACAGAATCAACAGCACTAGTACAGGTAGATGTGCCTTGCTTGTTCTCAGAGGTAGATTGCTCAAGAGTTTTTTTATCTGTATTTTGTAGGCCTGATACTAATGATGAAACTGAAGTTTGAATACCTGATTTGATTGCTGTTGAATAAATACTAGAAATGGTTGCAGGAGTATTGCAAGTCCTCTGGACAGGAACAACATTAGCTGTTTGTTTCTGTAAATTATGTCCTATATTAAAAGTTATTCCCTGGACAGATGGCCCCTGGTTACTTCCACCAAACTGGCTGCCATTGGAATATACAACAATATTCTTTTGCAGTTGATCATTGGGGATAACAACAGAAATATTTGTATTTTTCAGGTTTTCTTTCTTTTTTTGTATCTGATCATTTGGAATTACAATAGAAACGTTTGAATTTTTAAGATTTCCTTTCCAATGGATGGTAGGATCATCATAAAGGCAAATATCATTAGCCTTCAACAATGCTATGTAGCGCCCATTTTCTTTCTGGAGTTCATCCAATTGCTTCCGGAGTTTTTTTATTTCTTCAGCTGCAGAAAAAATTGTAAGAAGTTAAGAGCTAATTAGAAAAAAGCCGAGAAAAAAATTAGTTGATTAAGTGATTGATGTCACTTGGATGAGCCTGTCCTTGCTATTATCCAAACTGCTATGTGAAGTTGGGGTTGTATTCATTCTCTTGTCTAATCCAATGCCTCATTCCTGATTTTTTGAAAAAGTGCAGGTGTAGAGGCCCTCTTAAAAAGGAACTATGTTTTTATTATTACTATTCAAATTCATATTGAAGAAAATGGTTATGTAAATGCTAGAAGATAATCAATGGCAATATGCCGTAAAATCTAATAAATTCTAAAGAATAGGATCAGAAGATTCTAATAAAAGAAATTACTGATCCTATTCTTGGCATTTAGGTGAAAATATAGAACTAATTACCTGGGATAAAATTTAAAAATAATTAAATTGCTGTTAAATTCAGTTATTAATTACACATTAGACTTAGACTTAGACTTGCTTTCCTATTTTTAACTACAGGTTATTCCTCAAGTTACAACCACAACTGAGACCAAAATTTCTGTTGCTAAGTGAGAAATTTGTTAAGGGACCTGTGCCTCATTTTACGACTTGCCTTGCCACATTTGTTAAGTGAATCATTGCCTTTCTTAAATTAGGAACGCAGTTGTTAAATGAATCTTGTTTCCCCATTGACTTTGCTTTTCAGAATGTCGCAAAAGGGATAAAAACACTCCAGGAAACTGCAACCGTCATAAATGTGAGTCAGTTGTCAAGCATCCAAATGTAAATCACATGACCAGGAAGATGCTGCAATGGTCATGAGTGTGCAAATGGTCATAATTCACTTTTTTCAATACTATTGTAACTGTGAAAGGTCACTATTGTTGTAAGTGAAGGACTACCTGTATTTTTTTTCATATAAAATCTTTTTTCAAGAAAGCAACAATCCTAGCTCATACAAGGCAGATGTATTAAGAAGTAAAATGAGCAAATATTTTAATTAAAATATTAGTAGTAACTTTATTAGTAGCAGATGATTAGATCAAACAAAATAATAACTTGAACCATAAAGATTTGGAAAATCAGTACTGAACTTGCTGGAAAGTTTTAATAATAGTTACAAACCAAACGAGGAGGAGCAAGAAATGAACCTTTATTTTAAAACCTGCATGCAATAAAAACAAATGTGCCAATTTTATATAATGTTGAGAATAGTAAAAACTACATTTGCTAACTACTTTTATTAAATATAAACATAAATATGCAGTAACAGTAGAATATTCTAGAATATTTATCAGTGCTATAAACTGAACGCTTACCACCTTGTAGCAACAGACCCTCTTTCCTGAAGTGGAAATTGTTTGAAATAATTCAGTCACAGAAAGAGTGCAGAACTTCATTTAGTTTGGTGATGCTTCATAAAGCCTTCTGCAGCATCCCCAGATAAATAAGGGAAGACTATAAATTGTTACATTCATAGAATAATTTATTCACCTTGTTCATTGTTTCCTCCATTTAACAGAAGTTCATCATTTTGCTTTTTCATTTCTGTTATATATTTGTATGCTTGATCCAGAATCATATTCTTACTCTGTAAAGGATACAAATTTTGAATTGATTTATAATGTCCTGAGGAAAAAGTAACAAAACATTAAGGCTAATAAAGTTAACATTACCATCAACCCATGCTAATATAATGTAACTAAATATTGAAAACTTTCACAAAACCAAAACATTTTCAGAAAATTTTCGATAGCTCTTTTGCTTAGTTTTTTTTAAAATCTCCTATTGTGTTTTCCCGAAAATAAGACAGGGTCTTATTTTGTTTTGAATCCCAAAATAAGCGCTTGGCCTTATTTTCAAGGAGGTCTTATTATTTTTGAGGTGCAGGAGGCAGCAAACATGGTCACCTCATGGCTGCTGCTGTGTTGCAATATTTGGGGGGAGGGTTTATTTTCGAGGGAGGTCTTATTTTAGTGCATGCACTCAAAAGCCCAATTGGGTTTATTATCCAGGGAGATCTTATTTTCAGGGAAACAGGCTATTGCAACTGATTTAGACAATTTCAAAACAATAATCATCCAACTGCCACAGAAACTTTTTTGTTAATATATATTTTAAAAAGATTGATAACCACTTTACTTAATGACAGAACTGCCAGTCACAATGGTAGTCACTATACAAGCTATCTGTAATAAGATATTTAATTGCATTTCACAATTAAAACTTGAGTATATTCCAATTTATTAATCCCAAGTCTTGATTGTTTGAATAGGGGCATTTTGTTTGAATAGGGGAATCAACTCTTAAGATCTATATACAGCTGGTATTAACATACATTCCTACTTGCCTGTTTCAGTGCAGGGGAACATGGAATTAGCTCACCAATTCTGTTTATACCAGCATTGATTTTCTTCTTTCGATGCCTCTCCACTATAAAAAAGAGAATCCACTGTATGTACACTTACAATTACAGGTTGCTTAGAAATAATAACAATTTTATGTTTTGATAGTCTTTGGTTTTGCATACTTAAAAGAATCACCTGGATTCCACCAATATTAAAGTTCCTCTCAACTGGGAAGCCTGGACAACTGAAGATGGGTCTATGAATGTGGAGCTGATCCAGTGGAAAAAGGAACTGGTGAATGAATCAATTCCCTGAATTCCTCTTCAGAATAAGGAGAGGCCCTGCGATCTATCATAGCACTTCATACATATGCTCCCTGCAATGAGGCTGTAAATCAGGTGTCTCTGGTGGGTTTTAGAGCTCTGGATGCTGGAAGAATCATTTTGTCCAAGCTACGGTTCAGAGCCTTCAAAGAGACACTAGGTTTGCCTACTTCTGTATTTAATCATTTTTCCTGGAAGTGACTTGTAAGTTGCTTTTTGAATATTAAGAATTTTCAGGACAAGTTTTATTACGCGGGGAGATTTTCCTCAGTAAAAAAAAGTTTCATGTAAGTCTAAGAGCTTAAAGAATAAAATCAGAAATAAGCAGCAAAGGGGTTATTAGAAATTTGATTTCAGAGAGTTTTTAAATGAGCTAAGAGGCCAGACCATAAAAAATTAAGAAATAATTACAAGAATATTTCTTGCGGTTTGTTTAAAATCCTATGAAAAATATATGAAGATTTTGATTTTTAGTGTAAGAACCCTTTCCCTTGGACTAAGATAAGAACATAAGAAAGAACTAAAAATTTATAACTAAGGTGCAGACATACTAATATACAATGGCAGAAAGTATTTTAACTCTGGAAGAACTCAAGGATAATTGGCAATAGTGTACTCAGAATTTTCTTTTAAAATTGCTTGTGAATATACAATATAAACAAGTTCAAAAGAAGAGATAGAAAAGGGTAGAACTGAGAATGAGGCTGTTTTGAACACAGATTTAAAATTGCTAGGATTTATTAATGATATGATGTTACACAAGATTCACAATGAAACTCATCAATGTTTCAATAGCTAAAAGGGACACACAAATAATAATTCAGAAAAATGATGCATATGTATGGATTTTAACTCAGAAGAGTGAAGAGAAAATCTCAGATACCAACACATATTTTGGTTATTATTACTAAAAATGAAAAATATTAAATTCTTACCTGCATTATGAGTCTCTCGGTTTTTCTTCCTGTTTAAAAAACCACGAACTATTTATTGCTTTTTGAAGTATTTTATTAAATCCATAAACATTTCTAAAATAATGTTCTGTTCTGACATCCTTTCCATATACAATGAATATTATAGCATATAACTAATTAGCCTGTTTATTTTTTAACACAAGAAAATTTATATTCCCTAAAACATACATACACAAAATTGCATACATAAAACAGGCACAAAATGAGGCTTTAAATGGGTTCTCTTGTAGAAATTCAAGCTTTGAACAAAGGTTCCAATATGGATCACTATTATGTCACCAGAAATGTAAACAAATATCATAGCTATAAGGAATAGGAGAAACATTATAAATGCATATGCAATGGATATATTATTTTATGTACTAGAGTAGGCAATTATGTTACATACATTTAAAATACAATTTTATACTTTCCTATAAATTTCTAACATAAAAACAAGTTTAAAGAACATTTTTCCTGCCAATGTTCCATATTTCCCTACCCAATGACATTTATTTTTAAATCTAGATAGAATAGAAATCATGTACTGGACCCTGGAAAAGCTTGGCATTGTCATGGTAGGAATGTAACTGGCAACTTAGCATTTCATTACTGCATTTCCTTTGATACATTTTTCTTAAAGGTGTCGTGCTACACCAAATAATTTATTTTTCAATGACTGTCCCTGCAAGTATATTAAAACAAAACACATGACTGATTAACTAATTTAGGTTTATCTCCTTCTCCAATCCCAAAGGACTCTGGGTTGCTTACATTTAGAAAGTACAAAACAATTTATAGCTACATCTTCAATTACAAAAACATCTGCATTTGAAGAGCAAGCAAGCAGCAAAGAAGAACTCAGGTTGGCGGCTGGCTACTAGAAGTTCCAGCCCCGTTTTTAAAAAGTGCAATTGCTTTCCTAAAACCCAGCAAAATGAACGCTCATCTGATTTTAGGCACATTTCAAAGGAAACACTTTTCTATTCAGTTTTCTAAGAAATTCAAGAAACTTCATATAAAAAGAACATGCAATAGCTGTTCATATCACAGAGACATACTTCTCACATTGGCATGGAATAGATGGAGAGATATATGCAGTATATTTTTGCAGAACCCCCCACCTCCTCCATATTTTACACTAAATTCCTGATAAATCTAGTATAAATTCCAGTATTACTGATATGTATGCATGCTACATTAAACCAAGTTGGACAATAGCAACTACTGTTAAGCTACTTCCAGATAAATAACACTTCAGGCAATACAGCAAAGCATAGTCTGTTATAGTTCACCACTATTTATCATGTTGACTGATAGCTCACCTACTTTTGCAGTATCTGGATACCTAGGTACTTTTTCATTTTTGTTAAAAATAAATAGAATATGATAGGTTAATTAAAATTGGAGTCCTCCCAGCCCCACTTCTTTCATGCCTATTTTACCCTTGTCAGATGTACAGGCTGTTAAAAAGGTGTATGTGTGTGTGTGTGAGCAGAAGTCTGAAGTAAGAACACCCTCTTTTTGTGGTTATTCTAGTCTTCATTCTCTACTTTCAGAGGCTGGAACAGAGAATTAACAGGATCAATGTAATCTCACCCAAATCAATATCATTTATTTCTCTGTAGCAAGGAATAGGATTATATCATTATACCATATACATATTGGCAATGTGGAAACATACCGGTGCTGCTTCTTAAGAGGAGCTTTCTCTGTCATCTCTGGCATAGTTTGAGACAAAAGAATCTAGGAAAACAGAAAAACTCATCACAATCTTTGAAGCTACTACATCAATTCTCATTACAGTTGAAAATGCATGTGTTCGTAGCAATCTTTCACTACAATTTTGAAATAATTTTACATTAGTATAATCAACTTATATAATTAAACTGTGTTAATATACCTATGTATTGAATACTGAAGCAGAAGCAACAATGCAAACATGTAAAGCATTTCCATGACTACTATCAACTCGGCAAGGGAGGAGAATTCCATGCATACTTTTGGCCTGTCAAGTCTCATATTCTTTGCAGCTGGCCTGTGAATGCCTATAACCTGCGTAACATCTTGTTGGTGAATGTGATTAATGACTTCAGGCAGAGGGAAGGGGACATAGAGGTAAATTTCAGACGCCAATAAGTCGAATTTAGTTTCAGCTCCACAGAAAGTCATGCCAAGATGTTGATCCTAATAAATGAATGTTTTTTTTTAAACTTTGTCTCGAGGCTCGTAAATTAATT